GCTGCTGCTGCTTCAGGTGGCTCTCCCGCTGCAGCTGCAGGGACAGCTGGGCCTGCACAACGAGGAAGGGAAGCGGACGCAGGGTGAGGCTACGCCAGGAAGGACCGCACAGAGCTCGGCAATTTCACATCCCCACAGCCACTACGCCCCTAGTAAAACACAGGGACCTTACTGAGGAAAAGGTCACTGTGTTCAACGAGATTTAAGTCCCAGACCCAAAACGTGTTGCTCCCCCACTCCACAGTCTCCTCAATTCGAGTTCCACAACCTCCACACGTCACTATTTCTACTGTTGCGAAACTTTACTTCCTACCAAAAAAGCTGTGACGCAGCTGCCGTTTCACTGTGGTGAGTGACTGGGGTGTGAAGCATGTTCCCATGTCTACACTGAAACCATCTCGCAGGGACAGAAATCTGGCCACAGAGGTCTGACATGCAACATACATCAAAGAATGAATTCAGAAATCATAAAAGCAGACAGCCCTGAAACCAACAGTAATGGAAAATGCCCGAAAGAAGTCAAGAGGAGCTTATGGGTAAATCTGTTGTGTGTCTGTTGTGGTGAAGGCAGTTTAAAATACAAATTCAATCCTTCTATAGACTAACGTCAAAATACGGCATACATACCTGTTCACACTGCGTCAGTTTCATGGCTTCAGTCAGCAAGTCTAAATGAAACAAAACACAATAAATATTAATGTCACACTTAACTATAAACCAGGCACTGTGTACCAGAGACAACACAGGAATAACGTTCCCCACTTCTAGAATTCTGCAGTCAGGCTATCTAAAGGTCACTTAGGTCATTCCAATTAGTTTCACCGATGGAATTACTTTTAGAACGTCAGAAACTTTGAGCGGTTTTAAACGGGCAAAGATACACCCCTCTTTGGGCCAAGAGCACTGAGAACCGGCTCACTGTCTTTGATTTGAAGATCAGAATCTGGGGGGAGGGGAGCAGTTGAGATTAGAAGTGAGAGGTCAGTCAGTCAGGCCATTCAAGTCTCCAAGAATCACCTCCAATGGCTTCTTCTGTAAATTTTACTCATCAGCAAATCTGTATATTTGCTTCACCCCCTGACAGCTCTGCTCTGTCTTCTACCCCTGACCTCTGCCTTAAGTGTTTGCAATTCTTTTGAAGATGGATGCTATAAATCTACAATTATCTGAATCAAACTTTAGCCTTGTTCCTGATTCAGACAACTATTCGAGACCTAGATTTTCCACTGACATTCCCTCCGTACTAGATTTTTCTGAATTTAGCTTCGTTAACTCAGATCAAGTTACAAAAATGATTAACAGCTGTAAAACAATCTCTGGCTGCCTGGATCCTGTCCCTCCCTACCTCTGTGCTGAAAGCTTGCCTGCCAGACATCTGCCCTTTAATCGTCAATATCATCAGTTCTCTCCCTGGGTGTGGTCTCTACTGCCTTAAAGACTGCATCAATCACCCCTATACCAAAAAAAAACCTGGATTGGATTCTGATATAACAATGAACTCCTGACCAATCTCTAATTTACATTTTCTATCTAAGGTTTTAGAATATGTGCTTGCACATCAATTACAGGCTCACATGATAGCTAATGATTTGTTTGAACTATTCCAGTTCATTTTTCACTCAAATCATAGCACTGAGACTGCTCTTGTCAGGGTTGTGAATGATTTACTTACTGCGCCTGACTTTGGGGGGGATGTAAGTATTTTTATGCTCTTTGATCTTAGTGCTGCTGTTGATACAGTAAATCATTCAGGGTTGCTCAACTGTTCGCAAACATTCTTATCCATCAATGGTACTGTCTTTGGTTCTGCTCTTATCTGACTGGCAGGCAGCATTTTGTATCCCTTGGTCCTCATAAATCCCCTATGGCTCCAGTCAGCCAGGTGTGCCTCAGGGTTCAGTCTTGGGCCCATTGCTTTTTATTATCTATATATTTCCACTCAGTCAGATTTACATGAAAACATGGTCTTCAGTTTTATTGTTATATAGATAATACTCAAATGTATGTTAAAACGTCTTCCCCCTCTGATCTCCTGCCACTGTCACTTATCTCTTGTCTGTGTGACATCAAGCTCTGGTTGACATCTAATTCCCTTCAGCTAAATAGTGACAGAACAGAAACTTTACTGGTGAGAAGCAAATGTCAGCTGGCAAAGCTGGAGAGGTTCACGATATTGGTTAATGGCTTCCCCAACCATGAGTCAGCTGTAGTCAGGAATCTGGGAGTCACACTTGATCCTCTCCTGTCTGTTGAACCCCATGTCAGAAATATGATTAAGACATCTTTGTTTCACATTAGAGGTATTGCCTGAATCGGGCAATTTCTTTTAATGTCCAAAACTCTGCATCTAGACTTCTAACACCAGACCTTGGCAACATATCAGTCCTACACACACATCACTGCACTGGTTGCTTATAAAGTCAAATATTCAACATAAATACCTGTTACTGACTTTTATTACTTTAAATTATCTGGCTCCATCATACATCTGAATTGCTTCATGTTTACACCCCCTCCTGTGGGCTCTGTTCAGTTGAGGCTGGTCCTTTGCTCACTGCACCCAGGACTAAATCTTGGACTTTGGTGACCATGCCTGTTCTGTCGCAGCTCCATTCTTGTGAAATGCCCTTACTCAGACTCTACGAGAGACAAATTCTTCAACTCTCTTCAAATCCAATCTCGGAACTCACCTTTTTAACGGCCCATATGTCTGATTGTTGTAAACTCCCACGACACTCCGTGTGAAACAGCTCTGTTTTAAATGCACTTCCCTGCGTTTTCCACCTGTGTTTCGCCGGTGTGTGTTTCACTGTAGCACAAGGTGGTTTACAGAATTGCAGTGACGGGCTGGAACCTGACTGAACATTTCTGTTACATCATTTGAGCAAACACTCGCTCCTTAGACTGAAATGCAAAAGCAAAATCAGGCAGATGTTTTCACAGGCTACAAAACTGCAGTTTCAGAGAGACTGAGGTGCCAAACAAATCCTAGAGAAATCTGAATCTTATTTCATCTGCACCAGTTGTAGCTCTTTGTGTGGAAAAAGTTAACAGTCAGCTTATTTATTCTGGACAGCCAGAGTATCTGTCTCAAGGGCCAACAATTAACCTGCAAGCATTAAGCATGGAGGCCCAGCCTTCAGTGCCCTTATCTCCACAAGGCAGGTACTGGGATGCTGCAAGCTATGGATCATTAAGAACTCATGTTAGCTTAATTTCCCCTGTGACATTCTGAGCATTTGAACTATTTAACAGCTTTCATGTTCAGCTGTTTGGACCAACATAACGGTGTTGGAGAAAAAAGGGGTGACACAACAAGGAGTAAAGACTCTGTAGACACCTACAGAGCAGGTGATTCATATAATCAATGTTATTAATTGCCATTTATAACATTATTGTGTACTTATTGTGTACTTGGTGTTATGTTACTGGGTAAACCTGTTACTGTTAAAGTGAAAAGCAAATAAAAAAAAACAAGATCCTAGTTTCAAACCAAGTGCTTGTTTACTCTTACAACTCAAGATCCTACAGCCTTCTGCTGCCTTACCCAGTCTTGGGTGTTTATTACCGTTCATCCAGCAAACAAAAGCTGTACAGCCCTAAGCCAGTTCTTTTTGAAAAGCATTGCTTTTAACCAAAACACAGGAGAAAATCATCCATCAAGGGGGCAGCCGGTCCGAAGCCTCGCTGTTTTACTTTTCAAGTCATCAGGTATTAAGCTTTAGAATCATCCAGTTTTTCTTTGGTACATGCCTATCACGTGTATTTTAGAGTGCATGAAGCCTTTGTCTCACTACAGGACTCGACACGTCTTCTAGTGGGAGAGCATGTCAAATTTAACAACTGCAGTTGTGGAATCTCGCTGCCTTTTCTGTCCTAGAGGGTCTCAAATTAGACAACCAGGAATCGCAGGGGGTGACTAATTACACGATTCCCTCACGACTTTTCACCACGGTTCCCAATCTCGTATTGCACCGCGAAATTTACACGAGGTCGCCACATTTTGGCAGCCAATCAAGTGGAGCACATTAGAATAAGAGGAGGAGCACCGCACGAAAGTAAACAAACACGAAACGACAAACGCGAAACACTGAACAGACATCTGTGCTGGCTCCAAAGTCCGACGAGTCTCTCCCCCATTTGCACAGTCCAGAACACTCGCTTTCCTTCTTCCCTTGCAGCCGAATTGTACACATTGTACTTCCGGCTGAGCGCTCATTGGCTGTTGACTGTCGCAGACGCAAGAGCCCATCCCTACGACTTGCGACTCGCCACGAGAAAATCAAACCAGTCTGATTTTCTCATAGCGAGTCCCAGAGAGTCGTAGGGGCTGTTAAGAGCGCTATGGCTGAGTCGCTGGGGGTGTCACACTACACAACTGATGGTAACGGGCACACACTGCGACTCTACAACTCGCTGTGGTTTTCTTACGATTACGTGGATGAAGGCTACGACTGAAGATCCTAGGAAAAGTCATGTAGTGTGACGCCGGCATAAAACATCAACATGCCTTCTTTTAACTCAGTCACACTATTATAGAAAAACCCAAAGATAAAAACAGGTAGATTACAGCTACTTTAACTGGTGTTTATGATGAATAACCAAAGGGAGGCTGTTCTTTGAAGTAGTGTAGGTAAAGAAGAATGGTGTTTGCGCACGAAGGCAGACCTCCACTGGGAAGTGTTTTCAGGAAAACAAAGTCTGAACGCACCTGCAGCTCTGCCGTGACAGGTGATGGCTTCTTCGTGCTTGCCTGCTGCCAGCAACCGGTCAGCCTTCCTGCTCTGCTGGTGAGCCTGCAAAAGGAGCGTTTCTCATGACAAAGCAACATACCCCCTGCCCCTTTGAAAGATCCCTGCATTAAGCAAATATACAGTCAACAGCTGAGCCACGACAGACCTACCTCCTATCTGCAGCAGATTTATTACAAGTCTATTAAATTATAGATTGCAGTCATAGTTTAAAGACTAATGCATTTTTAACAGACTCTGGCACAGTTTTCCAGGATGGATCCAAGGCTAAAATAAGGCTGCACTTTACTGTTTTAAAATGAAGCATGAAATTATATACAATTTAAATATTGGTGCAGTGTACTATAATTGGAAGTTTTTTTTTAATAGTCTACTAACAAGACATGATGGGGGATAACAAGTGCTAAAATGTTAGAATATTTCACAATGTTTAGAGTAAACTGCATTATTTGGAGAGTGGAGCAGATTGGTTCTCCAGGGAATGGTAGAATAGTGTAAAGACAGAACCAGATTTAAAATTTTGTGACAAACACGTGGTTATAATAACCTTCTAGACTGCCAGTGGCAACAATTAGCACCTAAGAAGATGCAACTGACACTAAGTCCTCTATATCCCTTAGATATGTCTGGCTGACATTTTTATCCTCTTCAGCTTACATTTGCACATTGCCAATCTGATCAATTGTAGAACCACAATAAGCAAGGTTATTACCTGAAACCTAGCCTATGAGTATGTAATACTCTAGACCTAGGGCACATTGTGTAAAACATTTTCATCTAACCATCCAGGCTCATTCTTTTGCAATTTAAAATTGAAACAGATCTATGACATGCCAGGGCCTTGCACAGATTATATTCAAGAGCAAACACTGCAGGGACACTGCAAACCTAAGAGCTTCCTTCATGCAGGTAGACAGTCTTAATACATATGCGCACGTGTACACATGTATACATTAAAACACTACAGAAGGCACTTGACCACCACACCAGGCAGCGTAAAAAACTGTATGAATCAACGCATTGCCTTTCAGAGCATGATAACACTCTTTCTCAGCAGTCCCATAAAACACAGACAGAACAAAATGTCACCTGCAGGAGGAATACAGTAGAAGTGATAGTTTTAAAGCTGCCTTGGGACACCGATTACCTGAATGGGCAATAAAATAAAATACAAAACTAGAACGTTGGACAGTGGTACTTTTTAAACATAGTAGAATACAAAACAGACCAGATCCTCCATATGGAGCTCCTGTGACTTAACATTCCAGTTACACGATCTTCACCCTGTGAATGGTTAACGGTTCAAAGGCCAGCTTTAACCATTAAACCGAGAGGTTTCATAATTTCATTTTGGAACTGTCCTGCTCATTAGAAAGACAGCCTGTCTGCACGAGCTTGGCATTAAAGCATACGAAAAAATAAGAACAACTGCAGTGCGACTTGTTGCCTAATTTAACTCCGTAAAAACTGTGTTTGTACCAAAATGGTTCTGTTTACTGCAGAACACCATTACAGGATCAGGGGCCTGACAAGCTCCGTGTGGGAGAGCAGGTGTGCAGCTCAAGGCTGAAGAGTAACTCTGACTCTGCCCCAGGGGCTGCACCAGCAGTGGACACACAGCAGGAACTGTTCGACAGGAGTGCCCTACGCCCCCGGACACTCACACACCAACCATGTGCTTAGCATAATAAAATAACTATTGATTTTTGTCCCGAACAAGGGTAGGCCATTCTTGGGGGAAAAAAAAACTCAGGCACCTCACGCTGTACCATGTGGGCCCTAATGCCCCAGTATAGTGATGGGGACACTATACTGTAAACAGGCGCCGTCGTTCGGATGAGACGTAAAACCGAGGTCCTGACTCTCTGTGGTCATTAAAAATCTGCCGTCGCATCATCCAGGTGGATGCTGCACATTGGTGGTGGTGGAGGGGAGTCCCCATTACCTGTAAAGCGCTTTGATTGGAGTGTCCAGAGAAGTGCTACATAAGTGTCAGAATTATTTATTTTTCATATGTGCCGTGACAATCTTGCCCACTTCCCCTCGGAGCGGAGCTCATACAGACTTCGCCTACAGGTTTCCAATGGAGTGTGAGTTGCTGTCTAAGTACAAGTACAGTGGTGTGAAGGGTGACTTCGTCTTACAAATGAATAATTAACAGCCTGCAGCGACTGATCGCTGAGCCTACACAAGAACAAAAGAGGGAGTGTTTCGCTTTCAGTGGTGTTCGCTGCGCCTCGGACTCCCCCTGAACACTCAAAAACAACTTTGCTTCTTCAGTGGAAACATCTCAGCAGCGCTTTTCTCTCTCAGCTCCACTGCCACGACGATTGTTTCCCCCGTGTCTTAGAGAGTAATCCTCTCAGAACAAAAACGCCTGCTATTTCTTCCACCGATAATACAATCACAGGTTCCCCAATCCGAAAAGCAGAAGTGAGCGCCCGGGTCCCCGGGGCGGAGTATTATTAATAAGCGGGTCCAGGGCTCTCGCCTTCCGAATGACCTCATCATGGCGACACCACTGGAAAGGCCGGGTCACGAGGGCACGACGTCTCTCAACCAAGGGAAAGCAGAAGTACCGTATACACACACACACATATATATATATAGGTAATACACGATATATATATACTGGGACATTCCTCCTTCCTTGTGTGAACACACATTTGAGGATGACGGAAACACCGCGTTATGGTGGATGAAACGGATTATCTGAAGTTTATCAAGGAAACTGAAACAGGATGTGGTTACCTTAAATACAACTGCGAAAACCCGTTGTGAAGAAGTCTTTTGCCAATTACTTATTTACTTGTTCCAGCAGCTTTATTTAATATTTTAAAAACGAAATTTCAGAAATGGCATTTAACCCGTTTCACACTGCTGCATGCAGCCCACCAAAGACTGGTACATAAACCCATCTGGATGATACAGAAAATGAAAAGAGAAGAGCACCACGGGCGATTAGCGCGGTCTATCACCTGCGATTTCAATCAAGGCACCACGAATATTTTACTTGCTCCTCTGGAGTGGAGAATGAAATCAGATCCATGCAAATGATCCGCACATGAAGTCAATAGTAACATTACTACAATTCTCTCCCTTCAGCTTTGTTTCGGATACAGGCGGACCAGAATGTGTAACTAGCAAACAGAACCAACACAAACTTACGAGGTTAAGAGGACTTTCCACCACTTCCATTTCGATATTCTTCACGACTGGGAGCTACATGAGAAACCCAGCCGTGTCCCAGAGATGATCATCAGCACCCAGCTCTAGATCCCGGGGCCCAATTGGGCTGGTTCTCCCAGACCGCTAGGACTGTTCTACCCGTGTAAACACAGCAGCTTCCCTTCGCCGTGACGTCACAGAGACGCCTTGCTGCTGGCCCTCGGAATCTCGTTCCCTCAGAAGACATCCCGCGATAACATGACTTTACTTTGCCGGTGCTGCCCTCTTCTGAAAATCGTAGAGCAGTGCAATTAATGTGTCTTCAGCTAAGAACTCTGTAATTTTTCTTGTAATTCAATCTCAGTTTGAGTTTTATTCTCCCCGGAGGGAAATGTGTTTGAAGGCAGTGTCCAACCCAGCAATACAACAAAACGGACAAACACTTCCAACAAATAATACAGTACAGCATGTCTCAGAAGATAAGTTATTTTAGATTGTTACACTGTAAACCTTATACTGCAAGTTTATCCATTTCATCCTTAATTTCTAAGCTAATATTTTCTAATGCTCTATATGATTCTACCAAGATTAAATTTAAGTAAAAATAAGTCCGGAGTAATTTCAATTGAAATTTGATAGTTCAGTATTGATTCCTTTAATCATTTAAAGGTTTGATCTTTCTTAGGAAGCAAACGTTCATTTACAAATTCACTCTTCACAAGCGAAGAAAGCTGCACACATCCAAACCACTGATTTTTTTTTCTAAATTGAGTTCCATGAATTTGTCAGCATGGAATTCACCTCTTACTTGTTCTTTTGCCTCTAGTGCCCTTTTTTAATTGACGTGCATCAGGAATGATAGTAAGAACGTTCTATTTTAAAACCATATAAATATACAGATTATAGCCAAATATGAGCTACCACATGACTGATTTCAGCACAATCATATCGTAAGTACTAGGACCGTTAAGTACAGCAGTCTGAACCAGACAACACCAAACTGCCGTGTGCTTCTGTGAGATACGTGATGCGCCACAAGAGGGAGCCGGTGTCTTTTTAAACCGAGTGAACTGTACAGTAACGTAGCTGCTTCTCCGAGAACATCTGTACTGCCGGGGAAAATTACACCTGCTGTCCGAAGCCTCAGTAAAAAGGAGAGCTTCTTTAGTTATCTTCCATCTTTACGATTTTAACGAAACAAAAGTACATCAAAAGCCATAGAAGTCCTTAGCAAAAAGCGCCTTCTTTACAAAGCAGGAATTCTTCTGCAATGATAAAAGCCAAAGGTTTTACCCTGTTGAATCGGGGTAACCGGTGTACAACGACCTGAAACACCCTCTGCCTTTTATAGGAAACAAGAGTTTCTTATTTTATTGTTGATACAAGTGGAGCTTTAAGGGGGGATAAAAATACGTTGCTAAGTAATAATAAAATGCCATATCATTAAGATATTGAAATAGTATTGAAGGGTAAAATTCATTCAAGGGCCTTGAAAGAATGTCCTACCCTAACAGGCTTAAAGTACTGAATATTGAACAGTCTATGAGAGGACTTCGTACAAGTATTCAATGCAGCAGACTTCTGCTGAAACGCAAATAAGCTGAAACAACAGGGAAGTGCATCTTTACCTGAAGGGCTGTGGGCTGGTGTCGAGGTGTTTACTCTGCTGCCCCTACCCAGGAACGTGCTCTGGTTGGTCTATAAACAGGCTGCTCTGCCCTCGTGTACTCCGGATGAGAGATGATGAGCAGCAATTAAAGAAAATAAAAATGCTTCGATCTGGGTTGTTTCAATGGGTGACAGCACCTTGTTTCTTATTTTAACCGCTTAAGATGGCATTTTCTTCTACCACTTGTGATCTATTTTTAAGCTTTGTTTCCTTATCTCATTGAGACATATCAAATATTCAGACAACAGCAGCTTTGCACAATTCACAAAATTAATATGACATAATTGTGCTTCTAGTGAGATTTCATACAAACGTGAGACGGTTATGGGGCTGGTAGTGCTTGTGTACAGAAGAGGAGATTGGTTTATTAAATTGTAACAGTGATGTTCTGTTTAATTGCAGCAATGGAAAGTTAAGACACAGTTTTGTACCTGGGAATACATCTGTCATCCCTGTGATCTATACCTCTTCAGATATGTATTGGGAACGAAAAGGATCCCTCCAAATTTGATAGAGCTTGAGTTATCCATAAGCATTGCTAGAATAAAGGAGTATATATCTGACAGTTCTCCTTCTGCCGAGAGAGCTGTCTCTAAAATGCACTTGAAATTCAGGGATTTTGGCAGGATGTTGTGGGAATCCTAAAAGGCAGCAAATGTGAATTGCATCACAGCACATGGAAAAAGATGCTAGCTCTTCCTGTGCAGGACTAATGCTGTTGTCATTGCTACAGTATATATCCAGCAGTGCAGATAGTCTTTGCACTTTTGAGCATGAAAGGACTCATTGAAAACCCAGCATAAAGCCAGGAGTCTGGATTGCATAGTCGTTCTCAAACTCTTATAGCAGAAGGAAACTTGCATTGCTATTGTAATGTTCCAATCAGTTTGCGAAGTTCAGCTGATTGGAGAGATGCATGTTTGATCCCTTGGATGCAGACTCGATCAGCAAATGAAGTCAGGCATCCATCCACATGGTTCTCTCCCTTTCAGAAGAGCCCTCTGTGAGAAATACTCTCGCCCGTGTTCTTAGGAATTGAGTGTGTATATGAATGTAGGAGGGTGGGTTGGGGGCTCTGTCAGGTACCATTTGTCCCATTAATTAATGTTTTCTGACAGAAGCACAATAGGAGAGAAAAAAATACAGACTACAAAGATTTTGTCCTAAAGCCATCCAATCCTAAAGCAATAGTGTAGGGCTCTTTCTTCCCAGCTGTCAGGATGTACAGTCCTATTGACATGGCAAGATGGTGGAGAAAGTGGAATTTTGCAGTAGGAGGGAGGCTTTGATGTGTCTTTTTACCTGTGTGAAGGCTCTGTGAAAAGTAGTGATGAGCCAGCGTCACTCCCCAGCCCTCTTCTCCTTAGGAGGCCAGGATCTGCCTGCCCACACTGTAATTAGGGCTGCCTGCCTTTCTTCATTTAGACCTGCTTTTTTGTTTTTCTCTTCTTCTAAATTTTGCTTAGGCTGAGCATTTCCCAGCTGTGGTGAAGGCTGAAGCAGGTTCCTGTGTGCAGTTTGTGTGGGGAAGCCCACATAGCCTCCCACACAGCAGCTCCCTAAAAGGAGAAAGGGAATGCCTTGTGTCTTTGAAGCAGCACTCTGAAACAAAAGGGAACCCCTTGGAGAGATAATGCGCTTGACAAATATTTCTTTCTTTAAACTACACATGTAAAGCTATCAGACAGCTCTCTGTCGATCTACAGTTGTCAGGTGTTCCACCCACTCACCAGCTTTCTTGCTTTATTGTATTTTTGTGAAATTTAAAGCTGTTTTCCTTTTATTCCTGTAGCAGTGCTGCTTTTAAAAGCCTAAAATTACATTTCAGATTACCACATGCTTGTGCCAAAACTGGAGGAGGACATTCTAAATCTAAATGGTTTCAATGACATGTGAGTCTGCAAAGACAGGACCTGGAGGAGCATTAATTAAATCCATTGAGCTCTCTATTATTGATTTACAGATCAATCTCTTCAGCCCTTTAAAAATAAGAATTCCCTTCCCTCAAATGAAGCAATAAGCAGAGAATTATACCCGTTATATGCATAAGTATGCAGTTTCTGCAATTTTATTTATGGTTGAAAAAGATATTTAACCCTGACTGAAACATTACTGACTACATAAATTAATTAACTCCTTTTGATCAACCTGAGCAATATATACTCCAATATCTGATTGCAACCAAAATCTGGGTAATGATGCCCTCTTTCGTATTGGTAAATAAACTCTTTGAAAGCCTCAACAACCACGAGTGTCAGAATTTCAGAAATAAAGTAATATAGCTACATTTGTATTAGAAGATCAAAAGTGAACCACTAAAACTGAAGGAAATTCCATACAGAACAAAAGCTTCAGAGATATAAACCATGAACCTTGAGTACTGTTTACAGAAGTTATTTTTTCAGCAGGGAAAGAGGCCGCCAATGCGAGCTGTCAGAAAAGGCTTAGTAATAGAAGACTGTTGGTGTGTGAGCAGACAGTTATTAATGACTAGCATGAACCTTGTTTCACCAACAGGGCACACTCTACAAAGGTTTACATAACCATTTAAGAAAGCTGAACTCCTTAAAGCCCAATGTCAAGACTATCCTTTTCATGAAGAACATTCTTTGGTCATAAGAACGTAAACGTTAGGAACAAGAGGAAGCCATCCTGTCCATCAGGAGCTGCCCAAGAGCTGCTTCCTCAGGGAACAGTTTAGACTGGTATTTGAAACAGCACTGGTCAAACTTCTTCCAAAACCATTTGCAAACAACAAATCGTGTCCTGATACAGTGCTGGAATGCCATTATTATTACCCTTAACACATACAAATAGCAAGGTTTGTGTACATTCTGGGCAGAAACCTCTGGTGTGCTTTTAATGGGAAATAGCATACGTTATGTCATTCTTTGTTTTAAATGCCCGGACAAACAATTTATAAAAACACATTAAATGATTTGCTACTGTATTAATAATAATGTTTCTTTATTACCCCTTTACAATTTCTTACATTAGAAATTTGTCTTTTCACATACCCCAGCTTTTCTCCATGGAGACACAGACACATAGAAAGGGAGAGAAGCTTGGGGTCAGAGCACAGGGTCTGCCATTGTATGGCACCTCTGGAGCAGTTAGGGTTAAGGGCCTTGCTCAGGAACCCAACAGAGTAGGATTCCTCTGCCGGCCACAGAATTTGAACCAGCAACCTTCTAGTCACAGGTACAGATCATTAGCCACAGAGCCACTGCTCCGCCCTATTACATATCTTGATAGAACAAAAACTGACAGGTTAGCTTCTGCATGGTTTTACTTTATAAATATTTTCTGTGAATCCTATGAGAAATACTTTTGCCTACTAACTGGTAACATTATAAGGTTTACAGACAATTTTAAGGAATCTTATAACATGGAGAAACAGAAACCCCATTTGCTGACAGGGCCTCAGAAAGAAGAGGAAACCTATTAGACAGTTTCTGGGATCACAAATCCAGCGCTCCATCATGTTACAAGAAATTCCACAAGGTTCTTTTAGAAAACAAATGGTGGCCAGTGGAGTCACCTCCTTAAGGC